GAGACCAGCTTGTGATTCTGAGGTACAGTGTCTAATGCTCACATTCTCAAAGGCTGACATGCTAAGGACAGAGAATATCCGAGGCCCTCAGTACATTTGGGGTTGTTTACTGCTGTGAATTTCTAGCTCCTTGGGACAAAACCCATCACAGTCTTTTACATCTATTTTTCTTTTTCTTCTTCCTCTCTCTGTACACAGATGATGTTATATACTAAGTTCTGGTATAAGATGGAATTTAAAAGATAGAAATTTATATTTATAAAGGAAATACATGTCCATAGAACAAAACACAGAAAATGCAAAAAAAAAAAAACAAGCAGAAATATAAAGCCATAATTACTCATACTTTTGTGACTTAATTTGAGGCAGGGTTTCATGTGTCCCAAGCTGGCCTCAAACTCAGTATATATCTGAGAGTGACCTTAACATCTGATCCTTCTGCTTCTACTTCCTAAGTAGCTAGGAAAAGCTTTAGTCTGGGTAGTGCTGGGATTGAATTCGGAGCTTCCTACATGCTAGGCAAGCACTCTATCAACTAAGCTACAGACACAACTTGTATATGTGTTTCAGTTTTAAAATTATTTATTATTACAGTGTGTGTGTGTGTGTGTGTGTGTGTGTGTGTGTGTGTGTGTGTGAATGATGTTTGTGAGCATGTGAGTGTCATACCACAGCACATATGTGGAGGTTAGAAGTTCTGGGGACCCCACTGAAGTCACCAGGTGTGATTGCAGGAAGCAAGCTCCTTTACTCACAGAGCTATCTTGAAAACCCATTCATGTCTTTTAATACTTGAATATCTATCTGACATTATAGTTAAACTATTTTTAAAAATTCATTGGTAAACACAAAGGAGCTTGGGAATCGGTGGCTTCTTCTTTGATTCTCAACTGATTTTTAACTTTGAACTTGAATTTTTGTCAGAGACAGAAAGCTCCCTGGATAATGGTCTGTTCATTATCAAATTAGTTTCCTGAATTTGAATGCATAACTTCCTTGTGTTTTTGCTTTATTGAAATATTATTTTGAAAGCTCTAATAAGCAACAATAGAGGGAAGTGGTCTTAACAAACCTCACATTGTTTAATTATTGAACAGTTGATTCTGAAATTAAGACTGCTTCAGGGGCTGTGTGTGTGTGTGTGTGTGTGTGTGTGTGTGTGTGTGTGTGTGTGTGTGTGGTGTATGTGTGTGTATTTCTCACTCCAAGGGCATACTGACTGACCTCAGTTTAAGAAATTCTCATTCTGTAAAATACCTACCAATCAACAGCATCAAAGACTTGCTTTCCCTTGATAATTTGCAAAAACTTTACAAAGATTATCATCAAATCAACATGTAGGATTGAACTCATTTCTTGGCATTGTGGGTTCGGGGGGAAACTGTGGATTACAGGGTCACAGTTGCTACCACGGGTGCTGTGTATTTTACTGAAAAGTATGATTGAAGTCAAGACATGAGAAGAGTTCCGATTTCCGACAGCAGAGGTCAGAGTACTTCTGTGTATATGTTGGCTGGTAAAGTCCAAGCAGAAGGTAAACTGTACTAGAAGCGCACAGCTGAAGGGTGGGGCTAAATTCTTAATTTTTATTTTATGTTTTCCAGCCTTTCCAAACTGCCTCACGAGCTGGGGAAGTCACAAAAAGACCCTGAAATGTGATGGCACCTTAAGTCAAACGTATTGGTTTTCTCATTTTGTATCAGCCCAGTTTATGAAGGGAAATCAAACCTCTAAGGAATTGGAAAATACCCATTTGAACAATATTCTGATTAAAGTTATGGAATATTGGCATCCTGTCTCTAAATATTGAGACTTTGCTGTATAGAGTATCAGGTGATGGCTTATTGAAATGACAGGATTAAATCTACCAGCCAAAGCAAATAGTTTGCAAGAAATACCTTGTTCCAGAATTCACTCAACTTCTTGTCTTGATTTATATTTTATCTGCATGTTAAATTATTATAGAAAAATATTCAAACAGTTGTATCCTCTATTTCTATGCAACTTTAAGATCTATTGTCATGCAAATTATTACTATAAAACAACTGTTTTCATGAATAATGTCCAAATAAACTGGCTTGGGAAATTGATCTTTTCCCTAATGGGCACCCTTCCCTTCCATGTTTGCAACATGTTTTTAATTTCAAGAGGAAATTGAACACACTGTTGGGGGAAGTATTTTCTCTCTGATAGTACTGGTAGAAGTATTGAGCCAAGAAGAGTGACCCTAAGTAATCTTTGTCTGTATAGACAAACTCTGAGGTAGTAGATGGACTTTCCGAGAGAGAGTTCTATATTGAGATGTCAACTAAATTTTAAAAAAGGATGACAGTTATTTACTAAGTTAGTTGAAGAAGTCAGTCAATGATACATAATACTTGTAGACATGAAGTTGAACAACTTATAAAATTAACATACTATTTATATGTTTATCCCACCCCAGATGAACTTAGAAGAAGCCAAGCAATAATTAAGATGCATAGGCAAATTTGTAAATTTGTAAATGTTTCCACAATTGAAAAACTTCTATAAAACCAAGCCACAAATATAACTGTATTTGTACATGTATTATGCATATATATGCACGTCTGTATTATATACATGTATACATATATACATGTATGGGCCACAGTATGGGCCACAGTAGACACAGTAAATTCTCTCAGTGGGTTTCTTTGCATGAGTATGAATACTTTCTAGCTGTCTTAGAGTACAGGGGAAAGGCACCTCTCTAAATGGAGTAGAAGGTAATGGAACACCTCAGTGGGGGTGAGGGTTTCTTAGCTGCTGATTCTCTTGAATTCTGTGAATGTCTCTCTCTTTGTATCAATCCACACCTGAAGATTAGGGTTGTTCACCTTTGGATAAAACATTCCTTATTTAATGCATTCCACAGCAGCTGCCCCTGAATGTGAGCGTGAAATCCAAGCCTGCTTTCACTAGCTAACAAAGATGAGAATGCTTTGCATTAGCAAAAGAGCTTTTAGCCACTAAGAGGGGTGCTAGGCAAATAAGTTGAGAATAGCCTCCACATTCCTTTATAAACCACCTCCCGCCTTAAAAGAAAAGGAAAACCTTTTGTAATCAGAGGGAGATTCTTTGATGATTGCAAGCTTCCTGATGGGGCTTTTACTCTATCAGATGCTTGGAATTGTGGCTCAGGATAGCTACTTTAGGTTTGTAACTGAAGCTTTGAATGTGAGAGTTGTGAAGCTTTCCTTTGGGATCACATACTGGTGGTTCAATGTCTGTGCCTGAGATAACATCAATTTACCTTTCTCCTTTTAGAAAAGGCTTTGGGACCTTACAGACAGCATGGCATGAAGCCATCTCGTCATTCATTCCTTACAATTTTGTTTAATCTAGAGAAGACGTATCTCACGGTACTGACGGGAGGCACTAATTGAGACCTGCAGCTTTGGAGTGATGATGTAGCTGTTGGCTGGAGACATGGACTGTGGAGAGTCTACTATGAAAATCTAGCACTTTTGACTAGTTATTTTCAATTACTTAATATTCTTTTAAAATTGTAATTATATTCTGGCAAAGTTGGCCTTTGCCTTTCAATTTTGACCAGTGTCTTAAGTCACAATCTAATAAATGACCATAAACTACATTATTTTGAGAATATTCACTCATTCACTCAATAAATATTTGAGTATATATTATGTGCTAGTCATTTTTCTGTGTAGTTGGATATATGAGTGAACAAAAATCAGGCAGACACACATGCGGGATGACTAATGACTGTTAAGATCATTATGAAGTCATAAGGGAATATTGGACTTAACAACAGCAACAACAACAATAATAATGAGAATGTATTTATTTTATGTGATGTGTGTGTGTCTGAGTGTAGGTATATGCACCGTATGTATGCCAATGCCTACAGAGGCCAGAGGAGGGAGCTGGACTCACATGCGTTTGTGAGCTGACTTCTGTGGGTACTGAGAACTAAGTCTGGATCCTTTGTTAGAGAAACTGTGCTTTTCTTAACTACTTCATCTCTCTTGACTTGCTTTTGGGGTTTTTGTCTAAAAAAATCCAAATGATGAAATCATGAACTCTAGAGGGTGAGTTTTAGAGAAAAGCTTATTATAGGTGATTTATAGGGGAGAGAGAGAGAGAAAGAGAGAGAGAGAGAGGGAGGGAGGGAGGGAGGGAGGGAGGGAGGGAGGGAGGGAGGGAGGGAGGGAGAGACAGGCAGACAGACAGAGACAGACAGAGAGAGAGAGAGAGTGCAAGTGCAAAAACCTTCTGTATAGAAGGGGGTCTTAGGTATCCTGAAGCCTGGGACCTTATTAAAGGTTTTACGGTAGAAACCAGGGTGAGGTATGGGGAGGGGTTGAACTGGTCAGTCTCATTTCAGGTGCCTCTTATTTTCACTCCTGCAGGCATGTGTCCTCTAAGCTGAGCTGTACATTTAGGTGATAACAAAGAAAGGTGTTTCTGGCCTCCAGCAAGGAACTTGGAATTGCTGCTCTGGGGGCCTGCTCTATCTGATCCATTTATATGCTGTGTTCGCATCAATAACCCCTCCAGATTTGCTTAGGAGATGAAAGTCCACACTGGATCTAGTCTTAAAAGCTGCATGCCTATCCTTGTAATGTTATTCTTTTTCCCCCAATTTAAAAATAATTATTTTCTTTATTTTTAACTATACATATGGGTCAAATTCACATGTGCCCTTATTATTAACTATACATATGTGTCTATGTGCACATAAGTGCAGGTACTCACAGCACCAGGGTGTGTGTGTGTGTGTGTGTGTGTGTGTGATGCCCCTGGAGCTGGAGTTCTAGGAGGTTGTGAGCTGCCTCACGTGGGGACATGTGCTTAACTGCTGAGCCATTGCTCCAACACTGTAACATTATTTTTGGGGGAAAGTATTTAGATAGAGTTGTGTAGATCAGAGCTCTTGCTTAGGGATTTTTGGGACATGCTGTTGAATGGGCTTATGAGTCCGGGATTGTTTAGAGATTCACCAGTCTGACCACGAATACATTTTAATAAATGAAAGGCTTTATTAAATATTAAATATTAAATACAGGTCAGGCCATATATACTGACCAGGTCCATACTGGATTCCCACAGTATGGCCACAAAGTACACTAGTCAGGGGCTACACATTTCCACCTCCATGCGATCAAGCACATATCTTGTGTAGTTGATGGAACCAGCTTACAGACGTGAGACACTGTTATCTTACATGAACATCCCCCAGCATTCCAGGAAGCTGTTTGTCCTTGGGTAAGCAGGGCTTCCAGGTTAGAGGCATTTTGTTGTACAGGTCTCTTAAGCACAGTAATTTAAACCTTAAAAAAACAAAATTAGTCCTTGTGCTGGCTGGCCTGAAACTCAGATCCTCATGCCTCTGCTTCCTGTTGCTGGGTTGAAAGCTAGGTGCCACATGCCTGGCTGGCTATAGTAATCCTTTAAATTTAAATTTGTTAAGGGGGCTAGGGCACAGCCCCACCAGCCTGACAACCTGAGTTCAAATCCTGGAACCTCCATGTGGAAGGAACGAACTAGTCCTGAAGGTTGCCCTCTGATCTCCACACACACACACACACACACACACACACACACACACACACACACACACACACACACGTCTCTTTCTCCGAATGAGTACAATAAGAAGTTAAGCCTGTTAAAGTGGGCTCCAAATGGAATGCCAATCATTACGATTTGCAGAAACTTGGAAATTACATATATATTTTTTCTGTGTGTTTTAAATGTGTTTTAAACTGTTTCAGTGTTCTATAATTTCCCATTTGTTGTCAGCCTGTTTTGTGTTCACCCATTAATTTATTTCTTCCTGTCTTGGTAAAATTGTTCACAGCATGAAACATGGTCATCTGACATCTGTAACTCTTAGACCTGGAAGTTCAGGACTTTAGATACCACCTGGCATTTTATCATGTTCCCCGTGCACCACACCTTGATGGAGAGAGCCGATTGCCCTCAGGCTCAGGGCTATCTATCTCAGAAGCAGGACTCCTGTATGGCAGCAGCGGCTTCCAAGAAATGCTTCCTGCTGTGGGTCTTTCTCTAGAATTTGTCAAGGCTATGCTGGGTGGGCTGGTCTGGCCAGAGGGCTCAACCATGAGGTGTTCACGTGCTCCATCCTGATTATTGGACCGGGGTTCTTGGCATACACCTTTAAGTGCCAAGGAAGTATCTAGTTGCATGCAGATGCCAGGCACCTGTGTTTAAGAGGTTGCTATGGGAAAGCAGGTGTGAGATAACAAGAAGCCAGACATGAGCCAGTGAGCCTAAACATTTTTTGGCATTTCTTCCCTTTGGCTCAGAACTGCTAAGGCAGCATCAGTTGTCAAAGGCTAGAGATTCTCCTAGGTTAGGAGGTCCCTGCCACCATTTCCTGTTTTCAAGAATTCTTCCAAGCCGCCTTCAGTATGTGATAGTGACAGTGGGTGGCATTGACGTGCATTTTCTTTGTGATTATTTGTGTTGAACATCTTGCATTCTCTGCTGTACTGTAGATAATGGCCTTCTCCTGTATTGGGGAAAGTCTAAACAAATGGCTGATAGGTACCAATGACTATGAAATAATGTTTACTACAAAGTAAATAGCCAAGAATTCATCTAGAGGATTCATAGTTTGCCTGGAGTAAGGATGGGAGGAGCATAGGGCTGTTCAGGTGTTACTATCACAGTGACTCCGACCACCTGAATTTGGTCCCTGGGATGCTCGTGATGGAAGGTGAGAGCCAAGTTGTGAAAGTTGTCCTTTGACCTCCACATAGGCCTTGTTCTCATACCCTTCCTTCCCGGAAAAGGCTTGATGACAGTCACCTTTACCTCCTGAGACACCTGCCTGGCCCGCTACGCCCATCTTTTAAATTGGATTGCTCTTTAGAGTCCTATGTTCTGGATTGGTTCTTCACTAGGCATGTTAGGCAACTATTTCTCCCAGTGGTTCAATTGGCCTTTTCTTGATATCTTTCAAAGAGTAGAGCATCTTTCGTCTGGAAGAAATATATGTATTTTTCTTTTCTACATTGTGGCTTTAGTTTATATCTTTTTTTTCTATAACTAAAACCATAAAGATCTTTAATACTTTAAAAAAATCTTCTGGTTACTTGGAACACTGTCATATGCACCCCAGGCTGACCTCAGATTTACTCTGTAGCTGAGGGTGACCTTGAACTATTCATCCTTCCGCTTTCCGAGTGCTAGGATGAAAGTTGTGCACCATCTACTCTGCTTCCCCAAGGTTCTCCTTTGCAAGTATCATAGATCCGGATTGTACAATGCAGTTAATGATTCCTTTAGCCTTGCATTCATGTAAGGTGCAGAGTTGGGCTTGTCTATTTTGCATATGATGCCCACTGTGTCCCAGCAACTCTTCGTTTTTTTTACACATAGTCTTGCTATACAATGCTGGCTGGCTTGGTACTTGCTATATACCCAAAGCTGGCCCTGGATTCATGGTAATCCTCCTGCCTTAAACTCCCAAGTGATAAGGAGTATGGCCACTAGACGCTGTGTTGCTATTCTTATTTAATAAAAGCTCATCTTCCCCTCTTTTCCTCTTCCTCCTCTTTTTGCTCCTCTCTTTTCTTTCCTCCACATTGTGGTAGAATATTATTTTAAGGTGTGTGACTTTTGTTTATGCTGCGCTTGTTTAACTCTGTGAAGCTGTGTTACTGTGTCTGTCTAAAACACCTGGTGGTCCTAATAAAGAGCTGAACAGCCAATAGCGAGGCAGAAGCGAGGATAGGCGGGGCTGGCAGGCAGAGAGTATAAGGAGGAGAAACACGGAGGAGGGCAATGAGAGAATGAGGGGAGGACACAAGGGGCAGCCATCCAGCTACCCAGCAATCCATGGAGTAATAGTAAGATTTATAGAAGTAAGAGAACAGGAAATCCAGAGGCAAAAGGTAGTTAGGATAATTTAAGAAAAGCTGGCTAGAAACAAGTCAAGATAAGGCCAGGCACTACAAAGGAGCAGGAGTTGGTCAGCCTTCTTGTGCGAAGCCAGTGAAATAATGAGATGCTTACCAGCTCTCTACACAGCTTGAAAGAGGCAGAGTTGAAGCTGCAAAGCAGCACACGTCTGGATGTCATCATTTCGTTCACTGGTCCATGGGCTTCTGCCTCTTTAAATGATGGGGCTTCTTGGTCTTCCTCCTACAATGATTTATCCTTGGTGAGGAGCTTTGAAGTTCAGCTATTAGATCGTCACAGAGGTCACTTCAAGGTTTGTTCTTGGTTGACATTGAGAATTGTTGGGTCACCATGGTTAAGTTCCACCTACTGTCAGTAGTTTATAAATGATTGTGTGGAAGTATTGATACTGGAAATTTAAAACGTTTCCCTTACTACTCCTCTGGCATGCTGGGGATTTCCCAAGAATTTGTTAGACAACAAGAAAAACCTGCCTCCTGGTATCCTCTGATTTGCATTTTTGGGGAACTTGCCTCTTGCAATTTTGCCCTGAGGTGACTCAGTAAACATCCTGTAAAGGACAGACTTGAACTTGCAGTAACCCTGGTGGCAGTTTCTGTGAACCATGCTGGCCTCTGGGAATGAGGAGGCCACACCACATGTTTGAGCATTTCCCCCTTCCAGCTAGAGTTGACTCATGTTTGTGTTTGGTGAAACTGCGGCCTCATTCTCCACTCTTGTCTTCTAAGGGAAGACAGCAGAAAGAGACTGGTTAAAAGGTGAAAGTCCAGAAAAGGAATTTTGATCTTATCTGCCTGTTCTAGTAGCTTCCAGACATTGTCAACAAGATGGGGGGGGGTGGAGCCCACAGCATGTTTCCACGGATTTCCTCATAGTTCTTGTTTGTACCACAATTCCTCCTAAAGAACATGCTGACACGAAACCTTGTTTTGAGAATTAATCTTGAACACACGGCTTGTGTGTTCTCAGCAGGGAGGGATGCCTGGTGAGACTTCTACTTACCCAAAGACAAATCCTCCAAACAGCTGTCATGGGTTTTGCCAGTTTGGATCTTCAATATCTCCTAAAGTTCAATGTGTCAAAGTCCTGATCTTCAGGCGACCACTTTTAGAAGTATGGTCCCTTTAAACTAAGATGGGGGTGGTCTTAGATTCAGGGCACAGGAAAGTTTGGAAACATAAAATTTGAATAATTTGGAAGAAGGCTGTTATGGGAACAGAGATTCCTCACCACCAGAGGGCAGTACTCATCCAGCCTCTGTTTGTTGTATTCTGGAGCATACCATTGAGATCTGTGGGATAGAAGGGACACCTCCAGAGTCAACTTCAAGTCAAAGTCAAGAGGCTAACTTCAGCAAAATGTGTGTGTGTGTATGTGTGTGTGCACGCGTGCAGATTGTCTCTCAATTTCTTTCTCTTTTGCCAAGCAGAGTTGTAGGATTGAGTACATATCTCCTTCCAGCACTTGTTATACTTTATTTTTTGATGGAAACATTTTATTTGAAAGTATATAAAAAGCAATCAATTGTTATTACACTATGTCTGCAAAATATTAACTCTACTGCTTCCCAGTAAAGATTTAATAATTACTTTTATAACACTGGTTGTAGTTGTTTGTAAAGACAGTGTCATATGAGGGTCTCTCAGTACTTTGAATTACCCATTACAAACAAATGGACTCTTTAAGAGACCAGATAAATACCATTCAGTTAAGTTCAAATACGAACTATGTAGCCAATGATGAATAGAATTTTCTACTTAGGCCTATGACACTAAAAGTACTCTCATTTCCCCACTTGTGTATTTAGAAACTTATATAAACAACAGGAAGTGGCATTTTATTCTTACTAGGATAAGCTTACAACTGAGAAGATTGCCGTGGCCCTAAGTTCTATGCTTATTTTTCCACTTCTATCCATTTCTTGACATATTTAATATGAGCAGGCTTTTTCCCAATAAACCAAGCCTTGGGAACCCACAAGTTGAGTTGAACACTGGCCAAGATGGATGTATTCTATTTTTGTATTTTCATCTATATTTTTCCTCAGCGCCTGATGGAAGTTACTTCGTTTCCTGAACTCTCATTGCATTTCCAGAATTTTCTGTCTGCAGCAGAGAATGAACAGCACTGGAGCTCTTACAAGCTCAATCCCTTGCTTTCCCTTCATTCATAGCCTGGTCTGTAGTCTTTACTTCAATGTCTGACTGACGGTTCTTATCCGTTTCCCTAACTCTGTCACTGGCTCCAAGATTGTTGATAAAGCTCCTTGGTTTGGTCTTTGTTTTATATGAACTACCACTTGACCCGTCAATGTAACTTTTCTAGTGATTTCAACCTTTCCTCCCCAAGTTTGAGGTTGAAATTTTATTTTGAAATGGCTTTTGTTTTTTGTTTTTAATTCTTGAATTTTACTCCATATGTAAGGAAATTCCCAAAGGGTACTTGAGTTAGTCACTTTTCATTGTTGTGGCAAAATGCCTGGATTATACAACCTAAGGGAAGAGAGCTTATCTTGATTCACGGTTCAGAGGTTCCACTCTGATTTACTGGCTTCACGGATTTCATGCTAATGGCAGAGAAGCTGTAGCGGAAAAGTAGCCTTCACTTGCTGGGCGGGAGAGCCACATGTGTGTAGACTAGGGGCAGGGTTTCACTAACAGCTATATTGTGTGAAGAATGACCTCAGGGCACAGGGCTAAACACTCATCTGGTAGGATACTAGCATACTTAATTTCCAGGAGTTGTGGCAGGTGGGTCTGGGCTATACCAGAAAGCCAGTTGAACTTGAGCCAGAGAACAAGCCTTTAGGCAGCATTCTTGCTTCGAGGGACTTAGTTCCTTAATGATGGAGTCTGTGAGCCGAAGTAAACCCTTTCTTCCCAGAGCTGCTTTTGGTTACGGTGTTTATTACAGCAATAGGAAAGCACACAAGAACACTAAGAAATTGTTTATGTGTTACGTTTATGAATAGTTATTTTAAACTGCAAGTAAAGACCAAGATTTCATCTTCGATTTCATGAACTGTAAGTCTGATAATTCTATTTTGAATGAACTTCAAGTAAAACTGGAAGATTTTTTTTAAGTCGGGTTACTGAGAAGAAGGCTTTTAACAAACCTTTAAAAAATATTTTTTTGGCTGAGAAAAGGTAGTTTAGTGGTAGAGGTTTTTAGTTAAAACCCTAAAATAGCAAGAACAGCGATTAGTTTGGAGTTAAATAATGTGGCTATAGGCGAAATATTTACTGCAGATGGATTGTATATTTGAAATATGATCCATCCTATTAATCCTCTGGCTGTGTTGTGTGTAAAAATGTTTGTTCAGTTTAGCTTAACAATGTGCTCTTTCAGCACAAGAATTTCCACAGAATTTGTGTGGTCTTGTCTTGACTTAGTGTTCCAACTTATTTACTGCTAAATGTATTTAGTATCATGCAGTGCTGTCTTGCTACAAGCTAACTTGTATTAGCTTTAGTGATTACCCAAGAGAGAGGAGTTTGATGTTTGATACTCAGGCTTCTGAACCAATCACTGCTCCTGCTTCCTCTCAGACCTGTTCACCCTGAAGTTTAGAATTATTGTTTCAGATGAGCCTGCCATTTATCTTTACTCATTCCTTTCTGTCCCTCCCTCCCTCCCTCCCTCCCTCCCTCCCTCCCTCCCTCCCTCCCTCCCCAGGGTCTCACTGTGTAGGGTAGATCAGGCTGGCCTTGAACTCAGAGATCCGCCAGCCTCTGCCTCCTGAGTGCAGGGATTAAAGGTGTGCACCACCACTCCCAGCTAAGATACTCTTTGTTTTAAGAGAATCCCAGTCCTCTGTTTCTCTTGTAGGCTTTCCAACCGAGTTTTCTGTTGGTCACACCCTAGTGTCTCAGTATTTATGAAGGGGTACTTCCAGTTAGCCTGATGTTCACACAGAAGCAGCTGGACGTGACCCCATGGTTAAGTCACACTGTACCACTCCTGTTTTGATGGCCTCCCCTTTACTCTTCTTCAGGGAAGTCTTGGGCACATGATCACTTTCCTCCAGATGTCAACCTGCCATTATCCATGGTAAATACAGTGTAGGTCTGGAGGGCCTGTGAAGTTTTGGGAACTTCCAGTTCCAAGACTTTTGCCTCTACTCTAGCTCCTTTTTTCCTCCTATTTTCTAGTTGTCTATATTTGTGTCCTGGGGAGGCTTTTGTATCATTAAATATTTGAGTTGTCCTGCCATATTAACTTGCAGTTTCTTCTTTACCTGTACTAAACACCTCTTTATGTGTCTCCTACATCAGTATTTTGTCTACTTCCTTCCCTGATGTGGTCAGCATAAGCTAGGATTAAGGTTATTTCCTAAGAGTATCTTGTACAGCTCTTATGCGGGTAACCACTGATGGGCCAGTCTTGTACAGGTCTTATTCGGGTAACCACTGATGGCCCAGTCTTGTACAGGTCTTATGCAGGTAGCCACAGCTGCAATGAGCTCGTGAGTACAATGGCTGTGCCATGTCCAGAAATGTTGTGCCATGTCCCCAGACTCTGAATCTACCACGAATCTTCACTCTTGGTTTTGGAGATGGGGTCTTGCTAAATAGCCCAGGATACCTTTAAACTCAGTCCTCCTGCCCCAGCCTCCCTAGTGCTTGGATTATAGGTATGTGCAACCATTCTGGTTTAGACTGGTTCTTGAATGACCTGGAAGGCCTTCATGTTAAAGGTGTGGCCATCAGAGTTCTAATGTTTGCATTTGGAAAGTATTCAGAGGTCACTGGAGACATATTTTAGAGGGCAATTTTGGGGCGCTGATCTCTTCCTTTATGTCCTTTGCTTCATGACTTTGAGGGGAGCAATTTTGCTGTACTTTAGACTCCTTCCATGATATGATGTGGTGCCTTGCCACACACCAAAGATTCGGGACCCATTGGTCTAGACCCTTCAAAAGTGAAAGCCAAAGTGAGCCTTTCCATATTACAAGCTAATTTATCTTGAGTGTTTTATTCTAGTGATGGAACAACGATGAGCATGGCCTTGTTTGGCTTTTGCAAGCTACCGTCCTCAGGACCCCGTGTATAATTAGTCTGCTGTATAAATCAGTCTGCTGGTTTTGAGGATTGCTAGTGTGCTGTTATAGCAGCTTTGCTTAATTCTTCTCATTGTGATGCCAAGCAGTGGCATGCATGGGTGTCATTTGATGATAGCAGTTATCATTACAGATCGGGTGTATGGGTGGCTTTACTATCTGATTTAAAAAGTGTTCTTTGTAGTGGAATACAGTGTCCCAGAGTATCACCATAAGGTCCAGCAGCATCATATTCACATTTATTATATGAGCTATTATGATTCTCATCCCTTACAGGCTCTTCCTCAACAGCCATTCAGACCGGCTGTGTTGACTGTATTGTACAAATACAGATGAGTAAATAATGAAGGGCACTTTTAAGTCTTTGTGCAGCCCTGACATTTGCCCTATTTTTAGGCTATTTCT